CAAATGAGAGAGACTCGTGAGAAAGATGGAGCACGAGGGTGCGAGAAAGAGCAGGTGTGTAAGAAAAAGCAAGTATGCGGAAAAAGAGCAAGTGCACATGAGAAAGTGAGGACATGAGGAATAGGAAGCACATGAAAAAGAGTGAGGGCATGAGAAAGAGGATGCATGCAAGAAGTGGAGCCCATGAGAAAGCATGTGTGCACGTGAGAAAGAACACAAGAAAAAGCGAGTGCACAAGGAAGAGCAAGCACACAAGAAGAGAGAGCGGGTGAAGAAGAGAAAGAGACCAGATAGAAAGGGGGAGAGAGAGAATGCATGAGAGCAAGTGAGAGAAACCATGAGAGAGAGAGAATGAGGGTGAGAGAGGGCAAGAAAGAGCGCATGAGAAAGATATCTCAAATGAGAAAGAGAACGCTTGCCTGAGGAAGAGTGAGCATATGGGCACGGGAAAGGGTGTGAGTGCATGAGGAAGCACGTGAGTGTGTGTGTGAGAGAGAAAGCGCATGAGAAATAGCAAGTGCATGTGAGGAAGAGCCAGGGAATGAGAAAGAGTGAGGGCTCAGGGAGGGCACCAAAAAGAGCGAGGGCACGGAAAGGGACAAAGGTGCAAGAAAGAGAGGGCACTCAAGAAAGGCGATGCACAGAAAGAGTGTGAGCATGGGCAAGAAAGTGAGAGAGCAAAGGCATGAGAGAGAGTGAGTGCATGCAAGAGTGTGTGAGAAAGAATACACAAGAAGAAAGAGGAAAATAGTGTGTAAGAAAGAGAATGTGTGGAAAGGTGCAAGAAAAAGATGTCATGAGGAAGAAAGTGAGCCATGAGGGCGTGGGAAAGAGCGAGTGCACAGTTGCAGGAAAGGCCACAAGATCGCAAGGAAGGGTGCAAGGTTGTGAGAAAGTGCAGGTGTGACAAGGAGACCAGGCATGAGAGAGAGAGCGAGGGCGTGAAAAAAGGAGTGGGCATGAGAAAGAGCGTGCTAATATCCAGAAAGAGCAAGTGTGCAAGAAAAAGTCAGCATCGATGAGAAAAGAGTGTGAGCATGACAGAAAGAGAGGGTAAGAGAGAGAGGGTGAGAAAGAAAAAGCAAGAAAGCAAGAAAGAGCAAACGCTAAATAAAACAAGAAAGTGAGAGAGAGGGAAGGCAAGATCAAGAGAGAGAGAAAGAGCGTGTGAGAAAGAGTTCTAAAGAACGAGGGAGAGAAAGAGTGCGTGTGAAAGATCAAAAGAGAAAGCAAGCCCACTTGAGAAACAGTGAGTGTGAGGGCGTGGGAAGAGGTGGGCACAAGAAAGGAAGGCGCAAGGGTGGAATAAAGCACATAAGCATGTGAGAGTGTGGTTGCATGAGAAACAGCGAGTATGTGTGAGGAAAAATGAGGGTGCAAGGAAGAGGGAGGTGACCAAAAAAGCAAGGCCACAAGAAAGGGGGAACACTCCAGAATGGGAATGCATGAGGAATAAAGAGAGTGACAGCACAAGAAGGAGAGAAAAGGGGCACTGGGGAAAAGAGAGAGGTGGACTGAGAAAGAACACGTATGTGAGAAAGCAAGCATGAGGGTGCGAAAACGATCTAGCACAAGGTTTTGAGAAAGGGTGTGAGGGCACAAGAAAATGAGGGTGTGAGAAAAATCAAGGGCATGAGAAAAGGAGAGATCATGAGAAATGAAGCCTGCATGCGAGAGAGTGAGCATGTGAGAAAGAAAGCACACATGAGAGAGCGCATGAGAGACAAGAGGTGAAAGAGAGAGAGAGTGCACATGAGAAAGAATACTCACAAATAAAGAGAAAGCTCGCATGAAAAAGAGCGAACATGAGGGCACAGGAAAGGGTGAGTGCAAGAAGGGGCAGGGTTGAGGGCAAGAGTGCAAGAGCACAAGAAAGCAAGCACAGAGAATAGAAGGAGCACAAGAAAGGCAAGAGCATGAGAGAGGGCAAGTGCTCGAAAAAGGGAGTGTGCAAAAAAAAGTGTAAGCATGCGTAAGCAAAGGTGCAGGAAAGTGCACATGCAAGAGAAAGAAGAGAAGGAGAATGCGAGGAAGAGGGGGGAAGAGAAAGAACATGAGAAAGAGAGAGTGTGCTGAAAAAGATGGCACACATGAGAAAGCAAGCATGAGGGCATGAGAAAAACAGAGCGTGAGGGTGCAAGAAAGGGTGTGAGGTCACAAGAAAGGGCACAATGGTGTTAGAAAGAAAGCACTGGCACAAGAAAAGATGTGATGGCCTGAGAAAAGGAGTAGGCACAAGAAAGGAACTATGGGTGGGAAAGAGAGTGCCCATGAGAGAAAATTAGGGGGGAACAAAGAGGGGAAAAGCAAGAGAGAGGGAGGGCAAGAGTGAGGGAGAGGGAGAGGGCAAGAGTGGGAGAGATCATGAGAGAGTTTAGAAAGGGGGAGAGAGATCACATGAATAGTACAGAAAGGGTGCATGTGAGGAAGAGATGGCGTGTGACAGAGCAATTGTGCAAGAAAGAGAAAGCATGTGCAAGAAAGTGAGCGTGAAGGCATGAGAAACAGTGAGAGTGAGGTTGTGAGAAAGGGGATGAGGTCATGAGAATGGGGGAGAGGGTGTAAGAGATGGTGCAAGGCCACGAGACAGAGAGGGTGTGAGAAAGGGAGCGAGCACAAGAAAGCAGGATAGCTTGTGACAATGAGTACGCATGTGAGAAACAGCTAATGCATGCAAGGTAGAAAGGGAGCACCTATGAGAAAGAGAGCTCTCCAGAAAGAGGGAGAGGGAGTGCAAGAAAGCGAGCATGAGGGTGTAAGAATGAGTGACAGTGATGTCTCAAGGAAGGGAGCAAGGGCATGAGGGTGCAATAAAAAGAGTGAGGTCATGAGAAGAGGAGCAAGTGGGTGAAAGAGCAGGACCATGTGTGAGAAAGAGAGGGCACAATAAGAGGTAGGTGTGAGGGCACAGGAAAGAAAGCCAACGTGTAAGAAAGAGCAAGTGTGCAAAAAAGAGTTTGAGTGTGTGAGAGAGATGGCAAGAAAGAGATAGTGTCTGAAAGAGAGCAAGAATGAGGGAGAATGAGGGGGATGAGGAAGAAAGAGGGAGAGACAGAAGGGGGGGGTGATAAAACTCAAAAAGAGATCGAGAGAGGGACCAAACCAGAAACCAAGAGAGAGTATGGCAGAAGGAGAGAAAGCATGCATGAGAAAATGAGTATGAGATCATGAGAAAGAACAAGGATGAGGTTGAGAGAAAGGGTGTGAGGTCACAAGAAAGGAGGTGAGGTCATGAGAATGGGGGTTGCCAGAAAGGGAGTATGGACACAAAAAAGAGAACAGGTTGAGAGAAAGGGAACAAGCACAAGAAAGAGCATTATCAACTGTGAGAAAGAGCAAGTGCATGTAAGAAAAAGAGAGCTAGATAGAGGAGAGAGAGACAGAGAGAGAGATAAAGGACCCCCAAGAAAGAAAGCTCTCGAGAAAGAGGGAGATAAAGCTTGCATGAGAAAGAGTGGGCATGAGAGGATGGATGTGAGGGCACAAAAAAAAGAGCCAGCACGCAAGAAACAAAGGAGAGCAAGCATGCAAGAAAGAGCAAGGTTGTGAGAACAAGGAGGGCGGAAGAATAAGGATACAAGAAAGGGAGTTAAAGAGTGAGCACATTAAAGAGTGATAGAAAGGGAGGGACAAAGGGGGAGACAAAAAGGGAGAAGAGAATACGAGGAGAGAGAAGTAAAGAAAGAAAAAGATGATGGGAATGAGAGAGAGAGGGAAAAGAGGGAGAGAAAGAAGGCGTAAGAGAGAAAGAGGGGAAAGAGCGAGGGAGACAATGAGGGGGCGTGAATGAGTGAGGTAGGGATTGTGAGGGAGACAGTGCACTAATAAGGGTGCTTAGGAAAGAGAGGTGGTGTGAGAAAGAAAGCAAGCACGAGGGCATAAGAAAGCAAGAACGAGGTTGCAAGAAAGGGTGCAAGGTCACGAGAAAGAGGGTAACATTACGGGAATGGGGGCACGAAAAAGGGTGCATTGGTGCAAGAAAGAACAAGGGCATAAGAGAGTGAGCGAACACGGAAAAGCATGATCATGTGTGATAAAAAGCAAGTGCATATGACAGTGCGTGTGCACATGCGAGAGAGAAAGAGATAACGAGTGAGGGAGAGGGATAAAGCAAAAACAGAAGGAGAGACAGAGATGCACAGAGATAAAAAGATAGAGGAGGATAGAGAGGAAGAGACAAGGTTAAACTATGACAAGAAAATGAAAGAGAAAACGAGTGAGGGGGGGAGAGAAAGAAGGCGTGAAACACATGAAGAGAGAACTCAAGAAAGAGGGAGCGTGTGTGCAGGAAACGGGGAGTGTGGAAGGGAGAGAGAACGTGCGCATGACAGTGAGTGCAAGGGCATGAGAAAGAGTGAGAGTGAGGTTGCAAGAAAGGGCAAAAAGGCGCAAGATAGGGTGCAAGGGTGTGAGGAAAATCATGGATGTGAGAAAGGGAGTGGCCACAAGAAAGAATATGATCACTTGCAAGAAAAAGCAAGGGTGCACAAAGAAGAAAGACAAAGAGAGGAAGAGGGAGAAAGGGAGAGAGCGAGAGAGCATGAAAGGAGCGAGGGGAGAGGGAGCAAGAAACAGGGAGAGTACGGGGAATAGAGGTGGCACAAGAAAGTGCGTGTGAGAAAGCTAATGTGAGTGGGTAAGAAAGAGCAAGCATGAGTTTGCAAGAAAGTGCGCAATGTTGCAAGAAATAGTGCAGAGTCAAGAGAAAGGGCATGGAGGGCATGAGATAACAAGCACACATGAGAAAAAGGGAGCATGCACAAGAAAGAGTGCACATGACAGAAAGAGGGAGAAGGAGAGAGAGGAGACAGTAGGAAAGAGAAAGAGAGAAAAGGGAGAAAACAGGAAAGCGAAATGGAGAGAGAGCAATAGACAGCATGAGGGTGGGGGAAAGGGTGGACACAAGAGAAAGTGGGGGCAAGGGTGCAATGCGTGCGAATGTGAGAAAATGCAAGTGCAGAAAAAAGAGTGAGCACATGAGAAAGCGAGAGCATGAGACAGTGAGAGCACTTGAGAAAGGGAGCACACAAGAAAGCATGAACATATTAGAAGAAAGGGAGGATGGGAGAAAGAGAGTGGGGGCGTAAGCATACAAGAAAAGGAAGGAGGGAGTGAGCAAGGAACAGAGAGAGTGAGAACACGTGCGAAGGAGAGGTGGAAAGGGAAAG